CAAGGTTGTTTGGGAGAAGCTTTGACAAATTGAAGAAGTGCAAAAGTCTCTGGATGTCTTAAGATAGACAGAGGATTGGCGATGGCTACTTAAGCGGTATTCAAATGGGATCAGGTGCAAACACTAGTCCAAAGATAGCGAATTCAAGGTCCGATGATGAACTATGTGTCATCATCATCAGACCTTGCCTTTGATTTGGGGGTCCTTGTTTTTCCTTGCCCTTCTTTGGCAATGTTGCAATGCCTACGTCCAACAGCAAATTCTCATTGCCAAGTTCCTGGTGACATTCGATATATCATCTTGAAGGGGAAGTGACTCCACAGAAGGATAAAATCATATCCTTTACAATTTTAACAATCATGGGTAAAATTATAGTAAGTTTTAATTTCAATAATTAAATTTTCATCCGCAAATTTTTTTTGTCACGTCTGGGTTCTCACATTATAAATAATATAGAACTATTTTCTATGGACAAATGAGATGCAATGCAGTTTTTAACTGATGGATGTAGATTAAACCAATAAACGAAGGAAGTGTGTCTTAATTTGTTTACAGTAGGTGCCAACTTATAATAAATAAGCTGTAGACCTATAATAGCAGCTTGAACTATACACAGTTTACAGAAATTATTTTAAAAATTCAAAGAATCCTCCACTCAGGCTTGTAGGATGACCTAGGTTTTAAAGCAGTGAAAAATGAATGAAAACCTTGTCTTATATGTGTGTAAATATGGTATATCTCAAATTATTCTAGATGTTACTGAACTAATATGATCATCATCTACAATGGATTAGATACTGTCACTACAAAAAATTTTTTAACATACATTAAACAAGAGTATCAACTATAATGATATATATCCTTTTAGTACATCTTCAAATTACACAGTCAATGCTCCTCAATTAATTAAAAATTACTCCTTTTGATAATAATATGTAATAAGTTTGTTTACTTATCATACTGATACAACCATGATGCAGGACTATATTAAAAAACTATATCATCATCAATGTGCATCATCAATGTAATTGATAGATTTGACATGACTGTTTATGCTCATTACTGACCATGATCTAAGTTACTTCCGTCATTTTGATATAATGAATAATGATACAATGCTGTTATGGTAAAATAATCATGCAGATTGATTAAAATGTTTTGTGAATAATTCAAACAACTTACCTTAGAACAACAAAATGTTATTTTAGTAACGTTTGTGAATCTAACCCAGTATTTATAATATAAAAAAAATTTTATAGGCTATTTTAAATCAATTTTAAGTTAAATATTTCATATCTTTGTGTAATGTTTAATATTTAACATTTTAATTGAAAAAAATTAAACAAGCTATTTCACCTTCAGCTAAATGAAGTTTCTTTAATGCAGCTGCATACTGATCTTGAGCAAGTAAAATACAGGCACCATTGTAGCAAATTTCAAAAATATGTTCTTGAAATTGAGGTACATTCTTTATCTAAAAAATTAAATATTTATTTTTTGATCAATTATTTTGTGAACAATTAATATTTTAAGGTTTTTCAGGTTTAATACATAATTAGCATTCTTACTGTTTTCCCTTTTTCAGCATATAAATTTGCTATAACTGCAGCTAGATTAGTTTCTCGCTCTTCTTCATAATCATCCTATTTTCAAAAATTTTAAATATATTTATTTCATTAAAAAAGTAAACGTGAAAATTCTATAAATATTTTTAATTAACTAATTAATTAGAAGTAAGTTTATTCAAATTTTTATCAATAAAAAAGATGTTTCCTAAATGTTAACTTTAACCAAAATATTTTTAAAAAAATGCATATTTATAATCAAAATGTTTTAAAAGCAAAGTAGAAATCAACTAAAAGTAAGTAATTTTGTTGTAATTGTGATAACTTAAAACAAAGCTATAAAAATTAAATAAAATTATTCAAATAACCAATATATGAACATTTCATGAATATTGTTATATAAAATATATTAAAACAAACTAATGATTGAAAAGCAAACAAAAGCCTAATTAGAGGAGTTATTTACTCTGATTTAGGTCAATTTCAAATAAAAACTGGCTTAGAGACCAAAAATAAGACTAACAGCTTAAAATTAGCTCACAATCATCTTTTTCAATTTAAAGGTCACAATATATTTTAGTATTTTAAGATTGTAATAGTATTATGATACATGTTATCTATTATATATTTAAAACTTAATTAAATTATAAAAATATTTTGTACTTACTTCAGAATTTTTTATTAAATTTTTGTATATTTCATAACATTCATCATATCTTTCTAAACGATATAACTGTAAAATATTGATAAATCATTAAAAATATTAAAGAATACAATTATTATGCAAAATGTTTATAATATAATTATACTTTAACGTAATTATTAGAGACTCAAGCAGAATATTGTTAATTATATATTGAGACAAAATGACATACATCTACATTTACAAATAAATAAATAATCTCAAGACATTTTTCCATAACATACATAACAATACAAAAGTTGTGAAAACAGTTTCATGAAAAACTTATTAACTCATTTTAGGTTTTTTTCAATGACTTAAAAATAATTAACAACTTTGCTTAATTCAATAACTATTTGCTTAGCAAAAAAAATGACATTTAATTCTTTCTTTTAATTCTTCAGTTAACTATTCCTATTGTAAATATCAAATAGGAGCAATATACTTCATTCTTAACCTTGTAACTCTAACTCTATTGTGATACATTTTTTAGTGAAACTGATGGTTTTATAGTGTTAGAAAGTTGTGTATGTGACCTTTGTCTTGTGATCGTCGCGCCTCCCCTCTGCTATGTGTGGGGTCTGTTATATTCGTCAAGGGAGTTGTACTCTGGTCTAGTATAGTTTAGTTTGGAATGTGTGCTGTGGTCTAACGNATTGGAGTTCGAATCTGTACGGGTCGATAAATTCTCAAGAATTTTTTGAGTTGTGGTCCGTCCGGATATGTCTGGGCCCAGTTCGTCACCACCCGGCCTCCCCAAACCCATAATAAGCTTGCTAAAAGAGTCCCAGAGAACGGAAAGAGTTAAAAAAAATTTACTCTTGTATAAAAACTATTATTATTAAATATAAATAAAATATTTATAAATACAAAAAAATATTTTATTTTTCATATTTTTTAGAATAATCTAAGATCCTCGTAATTAAATATGTTTTATTAGCGATTTCAAAAGATGGCAGCGCTGTATAAGTATCTACTGTATGCTGTATTAGTGAGGAGTCGTGTGGTCTGATGGGGAAGATGTAGTGTTTTTATAAAAATGAGAACGGAAGGGTTATCCCAAAAACAAAATGAATAATTACGAGAACGTCTTTAACGTTCGGTAAGTTTAATATTGTATAAGTTTTCGAATATGAAATTGTTTATACGGTTGTGATATTAAAACTTGGCGAGAGTCCAGTTTGAAAATGACTTTATGATTTTAAAAAATGTGATTGGGGGAATTGAAACGTCGATCGGATATCTTTGAGAATATAATAATGCACTTTAAAAATCTCGCATCTGTTATGTTCTAATGAAAATTTAAAATTCTTTAAAAATAATTTAAGATTTTGAACTAAAATTTCTGTTAAATCTGTTAAATTCCAGATGTGATTTATCAGATTTAATAACAAATTCTATGTAAATAATTCTAATCATTTATTATTATTATAAGTTAAAATAAAATTTATTTATATACGAAGTGGTTAAGGAAAAATGTTATTTTTCTGTACAGTTAGAAAAATATAAACAAAAAATTTAATATAATAAGAAAATATTACGGGATACGTCGAGTCGAATTAACGAAATTACGTTCGACCGAATTTATTTTAAATTAAAACTAATTAATTTGAAATTAATGTCATAAAATAACGACGTTNATTTTTTTAATAAACATGTTATCACAAAATTCTGGAAATAAAATTGTAAAAATAATAATAAAAAGCAGAAATTAACACTTTCAGCAAGAGCTGCATGCGGCTCTCGGAGCTGCATTTGCCCATGTCTGTATTATACTATCAGCAAATATAGAGAGAAGAGATGCAAAAGTTTTCATGATGTTAACATAATCAATGGAAATAATTTATCCTCAATTCGTGCACTAATTTTGTTGTTTAAATAATTAAATTTTGAGACTAATGACCAAGACAATTAAGGCAACAGCCTACTAATCTAGGGATCTGGGATTAAATCTGGTAGGCAAAAGTCCAAGAATATTTTGGGGGGTTGTTGTCTCAGATATGTTGGACTTTTTCCTCACCACTTGGCTAACCCATAATGGAATAATGGAATTAAAAAAAAAAAAAACAGTTTTGGTGCCCACAGGACACAAAGAATTAAAAAAAATTATAACAAAAAACCACAGTTGACCACAATCTTTAATCACTTGTAACTTTGAATTTAATACAATTGTAGACAAAGTGTCCATATGCTCTTCTGATGTGAAATGTATAAATTATCTTAATAAACTGGTCAAACTGTAAATTGATTTGTTTATAACTTTCCAAAACAATAAATTTAAATTCAGCATCCATTACAAAAACACTTCTCTAGTCTTCTCAATTAAAGGATTGCATCATTCTGAATTCATAACTGAGAATTAAAATCAGCAGATATTGAAGTGTTATATAACTTGCACCTGCTTTCAAAATTAGTTTTTAAACACAAATAACAGGTTAACCATAGGAATTTACAATAGACATTAAGACTTTTGTTTGTCAAAATTTCAAAGCAATAATAAATGTGAATAAATAACAACAAAATTATGATTGAAATGATAAAACTAACATTGATAATATTCCAAGATAGTAATGTAAAATTAAATAAATTATTTTAAGTCAATGTTAAAACTAAAAATTAAAATTTAAAGTTAAATAAGGACTATTTAAATTAATAGTTTAAAAAATTTGATAATCATTTTACACAGATCCATCATCACATTCAAGTAAGTCAAAATTTCATTAACCTATTTACTAGTTTTTTTTCTCACTTACTTTTAAAAGAGCAACTGCCTTGTGAACCTGTTTTTCACGACATAATAAGGCAACATGTATAAGTGTAGCATCTACTGATTTCTGTTTAAAGTTCTTTTCTAAAAGCTGGAGTTGTCGTTTACACTGTTCTAGTTGATTTGTATGAAGAAGCAACAGACAATGATTAATTGCGATTGTATGGCATTGACTGGAATTCAGTTTATACTCTAAACCATCTAATGTGGCTGTCTTCATTTTCTTTTTTGAATCAAAAACATTTTGATCCTTAAAGAAAAAAATATATTAAAAGAAGTTTATTGAATATATTTATAATATTTAAAACACATTCTAAATATTCCAGAATATAATTAAGTTTGCATTTGATTTTATTCAGTTTAAAAACTTTTAAAATATATTTCCTTCATTGATTGATTAATATTTATTTTTAAACATAAATTTTATATAAATATTTATCAATAGTTATTATTTCTATACAACATCTTTTCATTGATTACTTAATGACTTTTATAATAAACTTTGTTATTTTTTTAATATTTTTGAAAATATAAATAAAAAATTTCTATTACTTAAATTTTAAATATTAAAAAAAACAAGTAAAAGGAAAAAATATTTCAAATGATCATATAATAAATAGTAGTAAAATATTTACCTTAAATAATATCAAAGAATGACAAACTGCCAAAATATTTATTGGATTATATATAAAAGACTAATTTAATTATTAGATATAAAGTAATTTGTCTGTAGAAAGATGGTTAGGTTGCTAATGATAAATTTAATAATTAGAAATAAATTTTACTTTAAATTTAAATTATTCTAGAACTGAAGAGTTGCCAGAGCAGCCTCAAACAACTTCTGTTTACAATGTAGTTACTTTTTACATTTATGCTAACTGGACTCTCATATGATATTCATTTCAAGAGCTACTAATTATTTAACTAATTTATACTGGTCACCCACATGTACGGCAGTATCCTGATAAATAATCTGGTAGTTCATTTGGTATTACTAATTGAATTAGATTGCTGTACACATTATTATAATATTGAAGAAATTATCACCATAAAAAAAATGTAAAATGATATTTTAAATATTCTTATATAGAATTTCCAACATAACTAACAAAGTGTAAGATCTCTTATACCATTAGATAAGTGGTAAGAGTACTGATACAAATAAATATCATATAGTGAAATAATGATATCCTAATTTAATGAAAAAATTGCTTAAATTCATTATTCTGAATTTGTAATAAAAAACTTTATTCAAAAAATATAAAACATAATAGCTTCCATATAAAAAATATTTTCTATACAATAACATTTTTCAGTAAAAAATCTGATGACAGATACATAGCCAAATGATTGCCTTAAATACAAAAGCTATAAATCCACTAATTTTAATAATTAATACTAAGTAATTTGCTACTAGAGGTAAACAGTAGATGCCATCTCTTATCTAAATTAATAATTATAAATTTAAATAATTTAGAATCATCTAGAAGAAACGAATTGGCATGGGGAGGGGTATGAATCCAACCTCCAGTGTGCTTGCCAATTGTGCCACCCAGAACCTGAGCAAGCCTTCACTTCCAGATGTATTTAAATTTAGATATAACCTTATGTGGTTAATCTAATGACAAATAACTTATAACCTGAAATTAAAATAAAATTTTTTTAAAGTTACCAAAAATAAAATTCATTTTATTTATAGTAAAAAGAAATTTGAATGTTTAAAATCTGAAATATGTAATTTAAATTTCTTCTTAAATTAGTTTAGTCATTACAGTTTATCACTCATTTATTGCACCAGCAAAGACCATTAAGAAGAATAACAGTAAATTTATTTTTGCAATTTATATATTAAATATTCATTAATTAGAAACAAAATTTTTTATTGTAATTCCAAATGAATAATATTGAGCTAAATTTATTAAAATGAATAATTCATAAAACTATAGAGATGATTTTCCATTGTAATATATATAATAATTAATGTTTTTGAAATTCTAATTTATCTAATTACAAATTCTCTAGTTTATCAAAACTTTATAATCTAACGTAATTAAACAATTTTAAAATATATCTCTTAAGATTTCTGCTTCAGCAACAACTTACTTTGTTTATTGTTACAACATTATTAGAAGCCACAGCAGCAAGAGCAATATCAGTGGGTCTGCAAAGCACACAAGTTAAATTTAGTAAATATTAAAATTTTAATATTAATACTGAAAAAATATTTATAAATAAAACATTTAAATAACAAGTTAAAATTCAAAATATTCTTATGTTTGAAAAAAAAAACCTTTTATGCATAAATATATATAAATGATTAGGCCATGAAATATCAATATTCTAAAACATTTCATATTAATTCATATAATTTAATTTCAAAATTCTTCCTGTACTTTCTTTGAACTAATCTTTGCAGATATTAACAAAATTTACAAAGAATAGTCCAAGAAATAAATTTTAAAATTTATTATTAGATATAGGAGCATATTACATTTCAAAATAAATTCTAAATTTAAAGTCTATGGAATTTCAGAGTTATAATTAACATAAATAAATAAATAATAATTATAAATTTACAACAGTCCAGTTTCATAATATTAACTCAAATAAAAAATGTATTAATTTAATAATTAAACAGCTATTTGACAGTCAAATTCACTTTTTTGAAACTAATACCTAGTTATCTAAAATTTATATTTTTCTAATCTGATATTATATTAGAAGTGATTATTATTATAGTAAAAAAAATGTATTCTAAACTAAATTTAACCATTATAATTTTCAAAGTTATCAGATATTGAATTATGAATATAGAACAAATTGTTCCATATTCCTAATTTGTTAGCTATTGCAACAAAATTGTATTCATATTATTGTTGAAATAACTAATGAACTATCAACTTAGAAAATGCTTAGAACTAAATTACATTAACTGTTCACATACCTTTGTTTTAATACTTGATTATACAATTTTAAAGCCTGATCTACTTTTCCTTTCATTTGCAAAGCATATCCCATTTGAGTCCTTTAAATAGAATAAACTCATAAATGTCTTATACTAAGCTATTCTTTGCTAAAAAAAAGCCTTACTATACTTTTTTAAGGACAACTCTAAATTTAATATTCATCAATTATAAAAGTAATAATAAAGTTTTACTATTATCAATCTTAACTCAGAGTGACTACGTGCAAATTTTTAAATATCTGCATCATATATACAGTGGTGGACAAAACTTTATACACACATATATATATATATAGTACAGATATTTATATATATATAAAAATCAAAAATCATATCAATATGGAATTATTACTACTTTAATTAATTGAATATGGCCAAATTATCAAATTATTTCTTGGTCTAGAATATAAAGATCAATTCAGAGCATAAACTATGTAACATATTAAGCAAAATATCAAATATATATGCATTTTAGTTTTTATAATAACTAGTGTTTCAGTTTCAGTTTAAAAATTTTCTTTAATTCTAAAATAAAAAGTTTTTACCGAATAACTCCAAGTTCTGACTCAATTTCTTCTTCTGGTACATCATCATCTTCAAGGGATTTTTTACAAAGTTCTGTTATAAAGTATTATAAAAAAATAATAAAAAACATGTAACATATTATTAATCAAACATAATGTTTACTTTCAAAATGAAAAACATTTTATACACTATAATTCATTCTAAACATAAGATAAAGAAAATAATTTTATTACAAAAACATATTTCAAGGATTCTGAGCTTTGAAACAGATATATTTAAGAACAGATAACTTTAAAATTTCAACAAATCTTTAAAAATCGTTTACTCTTACAGAATTTCAAACACTTATGTAAATAATCTATATTCACAAAACTTATGAGTCACAGTAAAGAGATGTTTTCAAGGCATCATTTAATTAAAGCTAAGATAGCTAACAAAAAAAAACTCAAACTGTTTTCAATAATTTCAACAACAACTTAAATAAATTGTTTATTTCATAAATTTTGTAAAAATGTAAAAGCCTACCAATCTTAAAATATTACTTTTAAAAATGTTGTTTTGAATTTAGTTTTCTATGAATAATTAATTAATTTATTCATATATAAGATGAATTCTGGTAAGACAACAATTACATAATGAAAAGTATTAGATATTAACAAAATACAAGTCAGATTCATGAAATTGTTGTTAATAACAATGTTGTATGTAAACTAATGATATTATTAATAACAATTTAAAAATTTGTTGCAAGTGCAATTCACAAAAGTTATTATAGATACTGTACTGATAACAACAAAGTAACTAGCATCTTATTGAGTGTGTGGAATTATCACTTCTGTTGGCTACAGCTAGAAAGGAATTAAATGTTTAAATCCTGGTGGTTTTAGAATTTGCTAAGTAGTTGTAATCATCCAAGAAAGACAATGATATGTTATATTAAAATTAAGATATTTTATCTACTTTAAAGATCAGTTCATAATTTAAAGAAATTATAAGTTTTAAACAAAATAATACAATTGAAATTTATCACTGATGAAAGAAGTGATCTACTTCACTCTGATTTTATATAACACATCACATACCATATTTACTTATGTATAAGACAATACCATATTTATTTGTGTATAAGACAACTTCAAAAGTCACTCCTCATATAGGATGAGGTATGACTTTAGAGATAAAAATAAAGATAATTAGATTTATTAATACAATTCTAATTTTATTTTGTTTAATCACAAATAAAATATCAAATGCATGTATTAAGACAAAAAAACCATGTTTGCCTGAATACGTGATGAATAAAAAACAATACCAAAATATAATGAACAAGACCAGAAAACGTTTATTTTTAATGATTCAGAATGTGCTAATATTCATTAAAAATAACAATTTAACTAATATGAAATAATTATATTTATAATCATTGCTAAGTGACCTGTATTTCATTAATGATGTTATTGTGACAATGCACAAAGGGCCTCCCTATGCTTTGGAACCATGGGACCAAAGGGTGAACATCACATTAGTGGTGACTATTTTGTAAGGACTGACACCACTGTGTCTTTTGGNTCGATGATGGCAACTACGAATCGTGGAAGCTACAAATGCGTAGCATACTTGTTTGCAATGAACTTTGGTCGTACGTAAATGGATCCATAGAAAAACCAGACACCGATCCTGAACGAATAGATTGGCAAACAAAAGATGAAAAGGCTTTAGCATTAATCTTACTAGGCGTTAAGCAGAACCAGTTGAGCCATATAAAGAGGGCAGAAACTTCCAAAGAAGCATGGGATGAATTGGAAAGGATACATAAATCGAAAGGTCCAATTAAAAAGGCAGTGCTATACAAACAACTTTATGAGATGAAAAAGGGAACTGAACAATCAATGTCGAGACATGTAAGTGAATTTATGGAAAAGGCTGAACAATTAGAAGAAGCGGGTATCCCAATTCCAAGTGAGTTACTATCTATAATGTTACTAAATTCATTGCTCGATGAATACGAGACATTTCGAATTGCCATCGAGTCCAGAGACGACATACCGAAACCTGAATTATTAAAAATAAAATTAATTGAAGAAGAAACAAGATGACAAGAGAAGGACGAGTTTTTAGTCGAACAAAGTGCACTGTACATGGGACCGAAACAAAAGAAAAGTTCCTTCCGACAAAACTACCCAAAAGGAAATAATCATTCTTCTTCACAATTCACAGGAACATGTTACATATGCGCTAAACCGGGCCACCGTGCAGCTGAGTGTAGAAGTAATAATAGATATTCGCAAAGGAACAATACACGCAAAAAGAATGACGCTATGGCGGTCACAGTACAAACGGCTCAACCTCTAAACTCAACAGACTGGTGTCTTGATAGCGGAGCAACCGCACATATGTGTAGCGACTGTACGAAATTTACAGAGATAAATCAAGATCACAAAGAAATACAAACTGCAGGAAAAGATGCATTAAGATCCGTTGGAACTGGAACAATTAATATAAGCGTGCGTGTCAACAACACCAAAAATACAATTAAGCTACAAGACGTGATAGCTGTTCCAGATTTGAGAAACAACTTGATATCTGTATCTAAAATTACAGAACATGGATATTCTGTCACATTCAAAAGAGAATCTGCAACTGTTATTCGCCAAGATGGGTCCATCGCCTTAATAGCAAAGAAAAGAGATCAGCTGTACGTAGTAGAAACATTAGATCCGCAACCAAAACGCAAAGCGGGACGCCCACGATTAATTAAAAGTGGAAAACCTGGAAGACCAAAGAAGGTGTATAATGAAACAGCAGATATCGCAAAATGTGACGAATTGCCAGATCCTACAAGTGTAACAGAAGCATTAAGCCAGGAAGATAGAGAGGAATGGTTAAATGCCATGGATTCGGAATATAAGTCTTTAATGGAAAATAATACATGGGAATTAGTACCACGCCCAAAGGACAGAAAAATAATTTCAAATAAATGGGTGTACAAAAAAAGAAAAAAAATTATTAAATGATAAGTTTCAGTGTATACGCAGACTCCGGGCACACCGATAGAGAGGGTGTTAGAAAGTTGTGTATGTGACCTTTGTCTTGTGATCGTTGCGCCCTCCCCTCTGCTATGTGTGGGGTCTGTTATATTCGTCAAGGGAGTTGTACTCTGGTCTAGTATAGTTTAGTTTGGAATGTGTGCTGTGGTCTAACGAACATCGCTTTCTAGTTCTCTCCATTTTTCTGTGTGTTACCTTAGACATTACCCTCCATTATATCCAAACCCTGACATATAGTAAGTAAATGTTACATTTTTTTTTAAGTGAGATAAGTAGTCTAAATTTAAAAATGTAAGTTATATATTCAATTTATTTTTCTGACTTCTAGCTCTCAAATGAAATAGTATTGAAATTCAATATGAATGCTGCTTTAACTATTAAACAAATAATCACATCATAAACAGTAATGTTTTATTCATAAATCAAATGTTTTCAGATTATTTGATAAATCATAGTCAAGACATAGAACAATTTAACCTGTCTTGTGTTGTTCCTGAGTATTTTCATGTTGACCTCATTTGACCTGACCCATTGACCTTGAATATATTAGTTTCTGCATCGGAACATTTTTTAAAACATCAGATGTTGCTACTTGTACGGAATTCCGAAATTAGTGACTCATATCAATAGAATCATTATGTTATCTAGTTTTTGCACAACAGGATATTACAATAATAGGAACAGTTGTTTATAAGAAATCACAAAGGAAAGTAGACAGTTTGTCTCTGATTTGACATGGCAATGGCTGGGAGAAATAGCACTCTGAATAAGTCAGAAATGATCAAATATGTATTTAATTTAGGTTCCAATGAGTTTGAATTTTCAGGCAGCAATGACGAATATATACAAAATGAAAATGTAAGTGATGGTAGTAGTGATAGTGAACACGAAATACAAGTGGATACAGAGGCCAATCATGCGGTCATACTCAAGGAAATAATAGTGCAAAATGTCCACAATTTAGTAGTGATGATGGTTGGATCCATACAAACTTCAGAAGCCCTCAAATAAACAGTTTCACAGGACAATGTAATTTACAGAGTGATGTTACACCATTTGACAGCTTTAGTGTATTTTTGATGATGAAACAAGATTGTTGAAGAAACTAACAGGTATGGTGATAGTTTGATGAACTGTGACAATTTATGAGAAAACGGTTGTATAAAAAACTGGAAACAACAAATCCACAAATTAGAGAATTTATAGGACTTATTATGGTCACAAGTATCATCAGAAAATCGTGCCAAAGTATGTACTGTACTTTACAATTAAAGATGTTTTTTCTACACCATTTTTTTTGAGTGTGATGTCACACAACTGCTTTCTGCTTTTATTGTCATGTTTGCATTTACAGACACTAATCAAGCCTCAGGTGACAATGATAAATTGCATAAATTATGCAGTGTTATTGATCATTTTTGCCACAGGTTCAAATATGCTTACATTCCAGATTAAAATGTGTATGTAGAAGAAAGTATTATGGGAAATCAGACTGGGATTTAGACAGTATATACCGAGCAAGTGTGCTCATTTTGGTGTAAAAAGCTTTGAAATTTGAGAGTCACAAACAGGATATGTTTGGGACTTTTTAGTTTACATGGGAGCTACAACAGAATATGGAAATTTTCTGTCGTAGCTCCCATGTGGTGGACAAGGTGAGAAAGTTGTGTTTACTTTATTAGAACCATTGCTCAGTAAGAATCACAAAATTTTTTTAGAGAGGTTTTTCACCTCACTAATATTAGCAAAAATGCTTCTGGATAAACAAACATATGTATGTGGAACTGTGAATAAAAATCAGATTGGAATGCCACACAATTTTCCTGATTGTAAACTGAAGGAGGGGGAATTTATGACCTGTCAGAAAGATGAATTGTCTGTGTTTTGTTGGAAAGATAAAAGAGATGTGACAATTCTAAGTACAATGAGTAACAACGAATTCTCATATTCTGATAAATGTAACAGATCAGGAGATACAATAATGAAGCAAAATTGTGTTTTAGAATATAATTGAAATATGGGTGGAATTGATCTGTGTGATGGAGTGATATACAATTATCCGTGCATGGAAAAAACCAGTGAAATGGTATAAAAAAGTGTTTTTTCATATGCTGGATATTGCACTATATAATGCTTGTGTTTTGTATTGCCAACATATGAAAACACAGATATCATTTCTTGATTTTTGTATCTCTGTTATTAGAAAAGTGATGAAAAAGTTTCACACAAGCAGACATGTAGTCTGCCGTGGCTGACCATCACATGAAAATCCGTTACATTTATCTGAACGGCATTTTCCTAGTTTTATACCAACAATAGAAAAAACATCCAACCAGAGTTTGTAAAGTCTGTTCAGCAAACAAAAAGCAAGTAGACTCACATTATCAGTGTGAACAATGTTCTGTTCCACTATGTGTTGTTCCTTGCTTTATCACACTAAAACTAACTTCTGAAATAAAATTTTTTTGTTTTTACATTTCCTAGTAGGTCTATTTTGTGTGTGTAAAATATAAAGTAATTTGGATCAATACAATAGCCACAATTATTACTTTTCTAAAATGTGTGATTGCATTAGGCTTAACATTGAAAAAAATTCAATGTGAAATGACACACAACAAAGAAAATATTCAACATTGGATAGGTTAAAATGGGAATATACTAATTAAGAATTTTTTGTACAGATTATGTAGCAAAATATTGCACGAACATTTAAATATACCATTAAAATTGTATATTTAATTTGACTATATTACAACCATCATTAGTTGACTAATGGTTATAATACAGTTGTTTTAATAATAAAGTACTTACCACTTGAGCAGAAAGTTCTTTTAATTTATCATTGCTTTGTGATGAATTTTGTAAAATAGACCAAGCTTCTTGAATTCTATTCAATCGATATAAACAGTAGGCCTTTTCAAATTGTAGCTCACTAAAATGTAAATAAATCTTATTTTACAAAATTTTTAATTTAAATTGAGATATAAACACCATACCTAAGTGTAGAATGCTTTTCCAATATGTTATAAGCATTTTCAAAATCTGACAAATGAATTAAACACACAACTTTGCAATGAAGAGCTTTATCATCATCTGGAACTTCTTGAAGAACTGCAAAATAATAAGTTAGTTAAAAATTAATTGATTTCTACGTCAAATATATATTAGGTTGTAAAGGTGAAATATAGACATTTTCATGTATATTATAATATATATACAGGTATACCTCATCTTACATTGGTAATTTGTTCTAGGAGAGGCACTTAAGTTGCATTTACTTGTCAATAGGCTAAACCACAAATAACCAGTCCCAGTTCTGTATTTTATTTATAAATGTATTTTTAATAGTGATGTAATGAATATTCGGTTACTATTCGGTATTTGGCCTATTTTTCGCTATTCGGCCAAATACCAAATATTTAATCACTATTTGGCCGAATACCGAATACCTAAAAATAGGAGTAAGAAATAACAAAAACACATTAATTAATAATAAATTAATACCAAAATAATAAATACCAAAATAATTAATAAATTAATCATTTATTAATTATTTTGCCAAAATAATTAATAAGCCAAAATAATTAATAAATTAATCATTTTGGTATTTAGATTTAATGTTGTTGGGTTAGTGTTGTTTGTTTATATTTATTTATAACTTATAACATGCACAAAATAAAAAAATAATAATATTAGTCACATGTATTCACAATTTATAATTACAAAGATCAGCACATGTACACACCTATTCGTTCGAGAATTGTCGCACACATGTGAGGGTCTGACCCTGCCTATCCTTTTTAAGCGCTCGTCTTTGCTATTTCTTTTCTCTTTCCTCCATCTCTCTAGTCCACATATGCCTATGCATAAATCATAATACACGCTCACGATACTTTTGATTCGTCACTTTTCAGTCGTAGTTTTTCCATTTTATAATTATGTGACTCATAGCTTTGTGATAACGCAGAAAAGAGACAGATAGGACATCGGTATATGTCACAGTTATGATTTCACAGATTCGAGACAGCTTGGTAGCCCGAACGGTCCCAGGCTTTCGCCCGTGCACACTAAGTGACTTTCAATACAAGCATTTATCTTTCCGAAGTCTATGACAACAATTGTTTGGCATTGACAGCTGCAAATTTCGCTCCAATAAGCTGCTTCGACTCGTTCAATTATGTTATCAACTCAATTTCATATTTATTTTCACATTTTCACTTCACGGTCCTTCTCTGTTCTTTTTCCGTTATTTATACATGTAGGTCATTTCATTGTTATTCACATTTGATATCATCATTTATCACATACTGCCATGATGCTCTTGTCTGTCCGCTACAACTGTCAAGAATTAATGCAATTGGCGAAGCGTAGTGACAGCATGCCAATAGAGAGCAGGGTCTTTGCCATAATGAGGTTTGTGCGCCAATTTTCGTATGTGCATTAATAAAGCCGAATAGTTTGGCCAAATATTCGCCCACGCTCCTGGCCGAATATACTATTCGTTGCAACAATAATTTTTAATAATATATGGTTATTAAGAATCTATTTTAAGCTTACAAACAAATAAATTTTAGTTTTTAATATAGTACAGAAAAAAAAGTAATCTAAATTTACAAATACATGTACGTACATACTTGTAAATACTGTATACATGTTTACAATTTGGTAATGTTTGCAGCACATCACGAACTCTATTTATGAATGTGGTTTGCTCTAAGACATTATAAAATAAGATGATTTTGTAAGGTTAAATAACAAATACAGTTATTAAAATTATTTTGCGATAGTAGAAAATAAACTAATTTATGTTAAATTTACCAATATGGAGCGGTGCTGACAATGATGCCAAACAGTAGATATTGGAACTAACATAAAAATGCCAATATTGAGCTCTTAAAGACCACTAAAAAAGATGACAACACAGAGTCACAGATGTTTTCATTTTCATATTTTGTTCTCTAGGATTTATAATTATTATATTAACATTTACTATAAATGTATGTATTTTAATATGATTTTATGTGCTTTTAACACTTTTCTAGTGATATTACATCTTCAATATTTGTGGCAGACAGACGTAAAGTCGAATAAAACAACAAACTTGATTTTTATTTTTCCAGAATTGGACAATCTCGATAGAAAAACAAGAAAACTCATGACCATTTATTGTTCGCTACATCCACGCAGCGATGTAGACCGGTTGTATCTGCCTAGAAGGTTGGGTGGTTGAGGCCTATTACAAGTAAAACAAACTGTTGAAGAAGAAAAATATGCACTGGCAGAATACGTCAAGGACAGTAGTGAGCCTGCATTGATTGCTGTCAATGATAGAAAACTCCTTAAAGCACAGCAGACAAAGAATCAGTATAAGAAAACTACATTACAAGCTAGAGCTGATAGCTGGCGTAATAAGGCGTTACATGGACAGTTCCTGGACAAAATTGAAGGAAAGGTGGATAAAGAAAGAACCTGGTTATGGCTTACCAATGGAGCATTGAAGAAGGAAACAGAAGGCCTGATTTTTGCAGCCCAGGAACAAGCAATCAGAACAAATGCAATTAAGGCAAGAATTGAAAAATCTGCTGATGATCCAACATGCAGACTATGTAAAGAAGCTGATGAAACTATTGATCATATTCTCAGCTGCTGCAAAAAAATTGCACAGACAGACTATAAACAGAGACATAATTCTGTGGCCAAAATGATCCATTGGAACCTGTGCCACAATTATCATATACCTACAGGGAAAAATTGGTGGAAACATAATCCCGAAAAAGTAGTTGAAAATGAATGTGTCAAAATACTATGGGACTTCCGGATCCAGACTGATAAAGTTCTGGAACATAATACGCCAGACTTCACGATTGTGGAGAAGAAGAAAGTGTGGATTATAGATGTCGCCAT